CTCATAAACTTTAATAGTAACAGTATATAAGATATAAGACAATTAACAATAAAATTAAATAAGATAGTAAAATACTGACACTACTACGATTTATTTATTTTGTTCTTTATTACTACCACCATTATAATTTTTTTAAATAGTATATGCGCGGGTGTATCCTATGTGTATAAGTTTAAACTTGAGTAGGTTAGGCTTAGTATAATAAATTACACATATTATCGATAATCTTTTGTAATACCTATTAAATAATTTATTATTCATGTTTTTTTAAATAATGATTATGTTCACAGACCTGCTGTCTTGAGAAAGGAAACAAATTTTCCGAAAAATCGGGCAAATAAGATCTGAGTTTATTTTTTACCTTCATCTAACATCCTGATTATAAATAAAAGAAGGTATCAGGCAGTTAGCAAGTTCCACTAGATTGCGTCAAATGTTGAAATCATGCACAATGTATTTGACGGTTTGTAATTATTGGAATTTGGTTTGAAAAAGTTCGATTTTGTATGGACAAAATTCAACTTGATTTAGATGAAGTCCAGTTGGATTTGGAAAATATTCTGTTGATTTGGACCGAGTTTAATTGGTTTGAACAAAGTTCTATTTGATTTGGACAAGGCTTAATTGGTTTGGAAAAAGTTTTATTTGAGTTGGATAAAATTCAATTTGATATAGAAAGAGTTCGATTTGATTTGGAAGAAGTAAAATTTAATGAGTAAAAATTTCGAATTGGTTTGGAGTTTAATTTAGAAAATGTTAAATTCGATTTGTAAATATTAAAATTTATCTCGGAAAAAGTACGATTGATTTGGAGAAAATTCAATTTCATTTGAAAAACAGTTTATTTGAGCAAAGTTGAATTTGTATTGAAAGAAGTTCATTTTGATTTGCACAAAGTTCAATATGGCAAGGGTAAAGTTCGATTTGATTCGAAGTTCGGAAGAAGTTCTGTTGTTTTTTGGCAAAGTTCACTTTCTTTTGGAAGACGTTCAATTTAAGTTAAACAATGTCCAATTTTATATGTGAAAAAGATTGATTCGATTTGGAAGATTTGCAGTTTGATTATGAAATTGGTTGAATTCCGTTTGTAATATAATACTAGAATTTATTTTGGCAAAAGTTCAATTCGATTTGTGACAATGTTCAATTACAACGTTTGTTATGGAAAAAGTTCGATTTGACGTGGAAGAAGTTCAGTTTGATTTAGAAGAAGTTTAATTTAGTATGTAAATAGTAGAATTTATTTTTGAAAAAGTTTAATGTGGCAAGGAAAAAGTTTGATTTCATTTCGAAAACGTGTTTTTTTTATTCAGAACAATAGTAGAAGAATTGGGAGAAAATCCCATTTTATTTGGAAAAGACTATGAAGATTTGAAAATGTTGAAAACATTGGAAAATTAAATTTATGATCAATTAATTTAACTACACTGGAAATATAAGCACGTACAAGAAAGGAAGGACTTACTAAATAAGTCGTTAGTATTGAATATTTTCATGACTTACCTATTTTGCCATATTTGATTTAGCCCGCCTACGTATTTGTCAGTTGTCTACTTTTTATACTTTCCAAAATATGCAATAATACAAGGGTTAAAAGGTTATTTTCTGTAATTAACAACACTACTATGTGTGTTTTACGCATTTTGCCACATCTTCAGCGGTTTGTCTGCGTATTTTTATTTCAGTCGAGTCCTTTGTGACAAAAAACAGGAAAAAAAGAACTTTGGACGATTAAATAGATAATCCTCAAAGAGATTTAGAGTTTAATTTTAAAAATAATTTTTACTAATTGTAACGCTATTTACAAAGTTGAAAGAATTTTTTTTAAAATTATTTATTCAAGTCAGTTGACCACCTCTTTATTAATGCAGTGTTTCTAGTTAAATTGTAAATAAATTATCATATGTTTTATTGATGATTTAATGGTAGTACATAATTTGATATAAATCAAAGGTAAATCGAAAATTATTAAACTAAAGTTGTTGGACATTTACACTCTAACGGTTCAGGTATTGGTTTGGTTAGACTAGTTCGATATGGTCCTTCTTCAACTTTTCACACATAATTAATTAATTTGAAACATAACCCAGTCTTAAGTCCCCATAACCAAGTCCCAGTATTAATATTTGCAATGTGTCAAAGACGATGGACGCCAACTCTTCACGAACCTTTTAGAGGACGTAAACACTTCTAAACTGTCTTTTTCAAACGCTGCGTCGACGGTTTAACCTTGATGCAAGTGAAGGCGCAGTCTGAGACTGATGCACCTTCGGCATCGTGACACCCAAATCTATATTTAGGGCCGGAAGGAAGGGCACTTCCTACCAAGCTTCTCTGAAAGTCCCGCCCTTGACTCGGTTAGACAAGGTCCCGGAACAAGGCCCAAACCCCTCCCCGTTTCCATATATAAGTCCAAGCCGCTCTTTTCGCCGTCACAGTGTCCACTCGAACCATCTCAAAGTAAGTAACGAAGCGACTTATATAATTTCCCCTTTACAGTCAATAATTAGAGTGAGTGGGATTCGGTCAATTTTCATCTTGCATGTTACCGAACCTGCTCCGCTCGCCATCTCCCTAACTTGTTATTATCCCTCTCGAGGTATAAAATAATCATCTTCTTCCGTAAACACCTTGTCACACCGCTTCCCAAAGCACCTCACATTCTGCAAATGTTAAGCCTTTATTTCGAGACGCACCTTTCCGCGTTCTTTTCCTGTTTAATCATTCGGATATTATGACTCGTTTTTCGACTAAGTGGATTAAGTTCTGACGCTTAGTCCTAAACCCTAGTCTTAGCTTTGAATATTAATTCAATCTTATTAACGGGAACTGCTTGTGCGGAATAAATTTAAAAATTAACCCAATCCGCAACAACATCAAGGAAGTAATCTCTCATTTCGAAACCAACCTTGCGGTTATTTTTCCCAGTACAGCGAAGATGAAATCATAAACACGTTTTGTCACTTGATGCGTGCACTGGGTGGGGCGGTTCTTCCGAGGTAAGATCCGGTGCTGGCCAAACATCAGTAGAAAAGAAAGTGGTATGGCAAGGACCCACGACCAGTCAGTCGGCTGATGGTCATTACCCTCCGAAACCATCTCCCATCCTTATGCAATAACTTTCTACAGATTATGGATCCGATCCCACAAATTTTGCACTTCATTGGGCTCGACCCTTATCTTTTTAATAATAAATTTATTCCGTTTTTTAAGACAAACCATAAGCAATTGATTGTTTAATTATTACTAATAATATAGAAATGTTCTATGGAAGTAGCACAACTGTACCTCAATCTGCCTTGAATATTCTGAAGCTTACATTGCTGAATTCTCTTTGTAAAACTGCAATCAAACTAGTATCATTTATCAATGTTATAGTCTAAGAAGACGTAAAAATCGAAAAAAAGGCGTACAAATGGAGAAACAGGCATTTTTTTCAATACGACATTCGGATGGCGAGGATAGGAATACCTTAAACCTTGATAACCTTAAAAAAGGTTGCTCTAAGAAGCAAAATAAAATCTTAAAAAGTTATATGTAATGTTGGCATTTGCGTTTCCTCGTGTTTATGTCCTTTTGATAGGTTCTAATGGCTTCTCAGACGAATCTCTCAAAATTACATAATGAAATCATCTTCAAGGATTGGAAGCCATTTGAATCTAAAAACGGGAGAACATGGAGAAACTGTTGTTTTAATCAGGGGCATATCTGACCATCACCCAACTTATGAAAAGGTCATACATACTGGGAAACACATTTGTGTCGTTGGTTCGTCTATGCGTCTCCCCGTGTTTTCGTCCTCCTTACGTGTCTAATGGCTTCCATTGGATACGATAACTATTGTGCTCGTAGATTTCGCCGTTTTCAGCGGTTAACCTAAGAAACTATTAGAACCTAAAAAATGAGCTACACCAATGAATTCAGTTTTGATCAGTGATTGGTCTCTTCTCGTTTTTAATGTTTTATTGGCTTCTCAGACAAATCACTGAAGATTATAAGATGACTAATGTATTTTGACAGTTCGCCATCTTAACCCTTTATGACCTAACGATGTCTTAGACTTCGTTAGACTTTAGAACTTTAATAATTTTGTTAAAAGGTTAAAAGGGCCTTCCTAGTTCAAAGATAGAGTTTAGATTGGTGCTAGAGATGGTTAGGGATGGTAAATAAAAAAAAATTAAATTAAATAAATAAAATTTATAATAATAAAATAAAATAAAAATAAATATAATAAAATTTATAATAAATAAATAAATCGGGGTAACCAATACATAAACAGAGCAGGAAAACATTGCCCCTCCCTAAACTCAAGAGATTTCCTCCTAACCTTAACTAAAATTGATAATGTTGGCTTGATCGGAACCAATTTTGAGCAATAAAAGGTTAAGCAATTGGTCTAAGAAGCCATTAGAAACTAGAAAAAGGACATACACACAAGGAAATGCGTTTTCATCGGTGGTTGGTCATTGCGTCTTCTCTCTCGTGTTATGTCCTTAGTTTTGGAGTCTGGTCAACCAGAATAACCGGAACGAGGGAACACGTTGGTCATTGGTTTGTCTGTGCGTCTCCCCGGGTGTATGTCTTTCTTTTAAATCTTGTCATGGACATTATTCATAGACAACTACGTACTCATTACACACATCATTTAGGTACTTCATTAAAACATTACGCAGAAAAGAAAAAAAACCGAACATCATTACAATCGGACTTGAACAAATAACGAAAATACATTACCCAATCTGTCAAAAACATCACAGTCACAGATAACACCAATAAACATCACATGAAGATTATGGTTTAGATGTTTAAAGGGGATTTTAACTAAGAAACAGACCAACTTCTGAAGATGACGAAAAATCCGAAAAGCGTTCAGAAAATATTGAGGACAGGCGGACAGACCAAACTTAAATTACCAATGTTAGGTTCATCACCCCGCATACCTCACGCACGAGGTCACATTAAACAATGACGTCGCAAATGTAATCTTTGTTGTTATATAGTTGCAGATAACTATGTACAGTGAGGGGCTGTTGCTTTTGGTGGCGGGTCTCGCATTGGCGAACGGCCAGGTGTTTTTGCCTCAGTACGTCCTACCTCCGCCACTCCAGCAAGCGGTGACCTACCAACAGCCGAGGGTGGATTTGGCCCATCCGGAAGTGGTGCTCAATTCCCAAGCGGAAGCACAGCTCCCCCCTCACCTGTTGAATCCATTTTACAAGAACCCGAGGATCGCCCAGGCGCTCGCCAAGGAAAGTTGGTTCGGCCCCGGTGAAATGCACGTGGCCCATCGTGAGGCGGAAAAGATTCCCAGGACCAGGATATTCTCAGTGCTCAAGAATGCAGGACTCGCCCGCAGGCGATAATCCACTCCTCCTCTCATAATCATCATCATCATCGTGAGTCAAGTCAACTCATCATTCGGACATTCCACTGTGTATCCTAGTCTAGTGCGTTTATACTGGATGCGAGATATGTTGTACATAATTTGAAAACGATTGCGAATCTCAATATTCTTATTTACTTTTTTATTAAAAAAAAGTTTTGTATGTAAATAAAATTTTGTTTTTATGTGCCATTAATTTATTTGACCTATGTTTTTGCCAAATTGCGACAAATTGTATACTTGTACATAATTTTTTTGTTTCGGATAGAATAAACTCAAATGTTCGTTTAAATAAATTCGTATAAATAAAAATTCATATGTGTTTATTGATACCTACAACGGAAAAATAATGTATCTAATTTCTTGCGCTAACCAAAAATATCTTTGGTTTTTACTTTGAAAAAAAAATTGTCGAGGCTTAAACATTGTAATGAAGGGAGAAGGTGTTGAAAGAGAGACTACCTAAGTTATTTTTATTTTAAGTTCTTTAGGGTTTTTATAAATTATTTTGTATAAATTTTACCCGTTGTATAAAAATGTATCCGCCCCGAAAATATTTTCCCTTCTTTTTGTTTTCCCCTTGATAAACTCTAATAAATAGTAAGAAAATATAAATGAGGCAGCCTTCAATATATATAATGTGGGAAATTTAGTGACCCACAAACAACTGAAGTAACATCTTTCTCTGGTCTTTCACATTTATTTTTCAACTTGCAGCCATTGAGCATCTCAATCTGTCACTGTCTCTAATTTTATATGAAAACTTAAATTTTATATGAAATAAGATGATATCCTAAAACGCTAGCTTCTCATTTCAACCTCAGTTTGTCAACTACAGAATAGATATAAAACATCCAATACTTTATGTACATCACCACAAATAGAAATGTGGTCACATTCACTCCCTGAGTATTCGATATTTCTCGGGACAGGGTTGAACCCATTCCATTCTCGCTAATAACTACTTTTCCTCTCCAGACGTCGTACACTCACCCCAGAGTACCCGATATTCCTCGGGATGGGGTTAGTATTCCATAAGATGAAAAATAGTCGATGTAACACTAAAAACTGTTTTGAAATAGTTTAATTTTCATGTTTCCTTCCAGTCTTCTTTTTCGACATTTTCATTTATTCAATAAACTTTAATTAAACCATTTTTGATTTTACAACGCTTACAGAATAACCTATCCACAAACGTTGTGTATTTAGTGTATTTTGATTGTTTTTGTGTTGACCTCATGTGTAATTATACACATATGATTCTAAGGGCTTTTCCCGTGGTAAAAATATTTTTCGACCACAAGAAAAATTTTCTTCTTAAAAAATTTCCTTACTCCGAGAATATCTTTCCCTTTATACTTATTGTTTGTTTTCCTCTTATTAAAATCCAATGAATATTAAGAAAACATAAATTACTATAAAAAGGAGCCAATAATGTGGAAAAGATGCAATAATGAACATTCTTGAAAATGTTAAATCCCACAGTCCTGTCAAATTAGTTACGTCTTTTAGTGTATGAATTTGTGTAGGTGGGTGAGACTTCGTCGTAATATCAACACCCCGATGCCTCCCCAATTTTTAATTGTAAGTAAGATTATCTGTAAAAATGTATTTATTAGCATAAGGGGTTGAACGGTCTGTAGCGGAATATGACGTATCAAACCAGTTAGATTAGGTATAGAACGGGTTTTTTATTTTCTGTGGGCATGTGTGTATGCATGTTGTTTTAATATTGATTAAATTAGGACCCGATACCACGTGTGAGATGAGCTACATGTTCGATATGTCCCATATTTTAGCAGAAGGTGAAGCGGCCCATGAATGGGTTACTTAGCTATTCCCATATATGTTTTCTTACACGCAGCAAAATGCAAATTAGCGTCAGTTATGATCATAGCTGCTTACCACTGAAATAGTCAACCTAATCCCAAATTTGTTGAATATTTTTGTGATTGACTACGTAAATTATCTTTGATTTTTGAACTTTCGCCACCTTGCCTCCATTTAAGTTCCAAGGAAAATATCCAAATTTGTCATATAAAATTAGGACCAATTAAAAATTCAAAGAGAAGAAATCAAATTTGACAGCCCCCAAAAGTCACCTTAATCATCGGAAACCTGGTGGTTTCATTAAAATGTGCAGTTCAACAAAGATAAACCCTGTCGAATCAATTTGATCATTGAAAACCTTGTTGATAAAATTCATTGAAAGTTCAGTTCAATTAAAATAAAAAAATATTGAAACGAGCAGTTCGACAAATGTAATTATTGTTGAATCAACCTCTTTCATCATTGAAAAACTCGTTGATCAAATTTATTGAACCAATTGATCATCCTCCTTGATGAATGTGATCAACCATATAAAAATCTTCATGTTAAAATTACTATAATTACTCAATTAATTATATACACATTTTTCGAGATGAAAAATTTGTGTCACAGGCGAGATTCGAACCCACGACTTTCGGCACTAATGCAGTACGATCGTTAATAAAAAGTGTTTCTATATGAAGCCGCGATTTTCTTACAATTTGAATAAAACGGGGAGTCAAAATGAGAAGTTTGTGGCATGGGCGATCGAAGTCATGGTAGCTTAAGTGGTAGAGCAGCGCCGTATTAAGCCGAAAGTCGTGGGTTCGAATCCTGCCTGTGAAACAAATTTTTCAATTTGAAAAAATTGAGTATAATTAACTGAGTAATTATATAATTAAGTACAAGCTGATAAAAATAATTAAAAGTTAGAATTACAATAATGTAAAACAGAAGTAGAGCCAAATTTATTTAATACACATTCTAGAAAATGTACAACAAAAGAGAAGAAAAGTGAAATTATCTGGGAATCGACTGCTATGGCGTTTATTTCTTGTGATAAAACAATTCTCTGTATAAGCTTTCTTCGTTTTAAATATATATACAGACATTCTCCAATTATTATTACATTTTGGTAATAAAAAGTACCAAGGTACTGAATATTTTGGTTATTATTCGAAGTGAGAATTTCCTTATTACTAATGAAATAATATACTAAAGAGAACAAGTGTACTAACAATTGTTGGTGAATTATATTTATAAAAATAATTTACTTGCTTTTTGTACAGATATAAACAAGAAGTAAACTTATTTTAAAATAAATGTAAGGTATGAGTTCCAAATGTGCCCTGAAAAAACAAAAAGAAGTTTTCGTAAATTCAGGTTTCTGTCAACGGTTGTTCAAATCTGGCGAGATGTGGGCAACTACGACTAAGCGCAGACGATCTGGGCCATGGCCCCCATCCACCCACATAAAACAACATGAAACAACTTGGAGATCTAATTAACTCAAATGCAAACGTAACGATGGAAACTTATATATCAACCTACAATGAGAAAACAAAATTTCGTTTCACTCGTCACAGCTTTAAAAAATTAGTCGTAAGCTACTAAGTTTAAACGCGATTCAATGTACTTGAAGCATCATTTTATGATTTACATAAGTTCTATTCCCCATTTCTTCAGTAGTCATTGAATGAAAAAAAGTGACTTTTTTTCTAAGTTTACGTTTTATAAATGTGTTTTACAACTTATTGTTTTATCATTCTCGAATATGGGGTACGAGTCTACCCAGGCATTTAACCCCTCAGGTCTTGGTCGCCCACCCTGCATAATATATATCATTCTCGAATGAAAGTTAGGAAAAACTTGCTAAATGTAGAGAATATATTTCTATTTCTACTGCATTCCAAACGCGAATGCATTCCTAAACATATTCTGTTATTTTGAAACTTGACTGCTACCAACGCACCACCTGTCTGGGCCTTGGTCATGTGACAAAATAGTAAAACTCATATAAATGGAACACTAAAATCAACATTGATCAATGAAAAATAATACTGGAAACAACAAAAGAGATGAGTGGTTAGTGTGTCCGACTCGTATTTCCTATGCTAGTGATCTTGAGTTCGAATCCCTGAGTAACCCATGGTGTTTTTTAATTGAAAATGGTTTCAAAAATGTATTGTAAAGTGATTTTTATGACTCGGCCGCGACACGCAACGGGATAACGGACGTTAGTCCTCCATTATTAATTAAATTACTAACCTTTTTTACCTAAAAACAAAAACAATAAGAGATTTAGTCTATTTATGTTTCACGATGATAATTGACCACATTAATTATATCAATTAATTATTATTTTTATCTGAGGTTTTGATTGAGATGTAAAAGTTAGTGACACGAGTGGGATTCGAACCAACGACTCTCGGCTACGAACTACTCTCGGAGAAGTACAGCAGCGGCGTTTTGAGCCGAAGGTCGTGTTTTCGTGAACTCAGATAAAAAGAATAATTAAATAAAAATATTTAGTGCTCAATCAATAGGAGCAATAAAGAAAGCATTAAACAAGACAGCTACAAAAATCAAATGAAACTCCAGAAATAGACTGTAAATACCATATTCGCATCAATTAAACATAAAAACTGCACCATCAATTAAACATCGCTGGAAAAGTTCTAAGGCAAGGTACCATGAAGACGGACTGATTTGACATCAAACTTGTGATATCATTATCTTGCGAAATTGCGGCAAACTGTTCAGGGAAATAAAAGTCAGATTCAAAGAACATTGAAGATAGGTTTGAATGTTCTTGTTGTTCCTTGGTGTCTCCTTCGGTGGGTCGTCCTCCTTTCTGCAGCCACGAATCCCCTTTCGGGGTATCCATCCTGATCGCTCGGTCCGGGAGTGGATACGGCTGCACATGAGGAGGAAAATCCGAAGAACCGCCGACAACCTATCCCCATCTATCGAGGGACTACAGGACTGAATTCGCCTCTCCTTAACCCCAAACGGTGGGAAAATATGTTTTCTTCGCGGCAGCCATCCACTCCTCGTATCCATCACATGATCCAAGATGGCCTTGGCTGCTCGCGAGTAGGAAACGTCTTTTCCCCAACTCTCTTCTTGGACCCTGCTGGAATCAACTTGTCCAATCCTCCTCCCCATCGTATCACACTTCCGCTAATTTCTCTTTTTTCAGTTTATAATATATTAATACCAAACCAATCTTCTGTTTTATTTGTTGTTTGTTCCTTTTCTATTTCTCTGGCTTTTCTCTTCTCTCTCCAGGGTAAGCACGATAACTGTCAATGCTTGAGGAAGACTTAAACATTTATTTTATTTATTTTTGTAATGAAAAAGACGTAATAAAACTAATAATACTAACTTCGTTGTGATCTGTAATCAACAAAATTTTTATAGAAAACCCCAAAGCACCTGCTAGATACATAGTTCTACAGCCTGCGATAATCAAATCTATTCTGTTTTTATTGCTGTGGAAGGTGTTACAAATTTTGTCTTTGGATAAAACGACACATTGATTAATACATTGATTCAATACTAAAGAAAGCGTTTATGACTGAAGTAAACCAAGTTTTGGAACGTATAGAGGAAAGCCTCAAACTTACAATCGGGGGTGTCCAGGACCCGAGGTTCAAAACTATTTTTTTCAATAAAGATATAGATGTAATTTTCAGAAGTGAGATAGTATAGCATCCACTTCTCTGCATCAGAAAAATTTGGCGGCCAAACGGAAAAATAAACTCTTATCCTTCAAGATTCCGTTTTTCCTGTCAGATCGGATCTCACCCACCTAGAGAGAAGATAAGAATAATACCTAAGCCGAAATTTATGCTTAACAACCCGTTCGACTTTATCTATATATTCTAGTTTACGTACTTCACATGGCTTACATGCTTCCGAGAGGTGAAGTATCAAAATCAGTCTTGAATAAATTCCGTGACGATTCTTTTACTGGAATCTTTGCGCGAGGCTGATTGAGAAATGAATACTGTAATTAATCCCATAACGCCATCTATCGTCGCAGCTGGTAGTAATAGTAGATAAAACTGATTTTACCTTACATCAAAGTTGATGAATAGATGGACCACAAAATTAATTAGAAAAATGTTCCACTTATGATAGTATGCTCATCAATCCACATAACGTTAATTGTACCGTTGAAGAGGTGACAATAAACAAGTAATTAAACTTTTTCTTACTTCAATTTGAACTAGACTCTATCATTTGATCTTTTCTCCGCATTTACAGCTCTCTGCAAATCTTTCATCTTACATCATCTTGGTTTCTGATTCCAACATTCTTCATAGGTCACCATCATCAATATAATAAGCAAAATAATAATTGAACAATTTCAAAAGTGTACTGTAATCAATTTTGTTGAATGTCCAAAGGCCTTGTAAAAGGAGACGATATTGGTGTTAATAATTCGATTAACGAATCAATAGAAAACAGATATCACTAACTGTTACTGAAGAACCTCTCACTCAGCCGATATGGCATCCTCGTTTTGGGGTCAGTGCATGCCAAGTACAACTGGATCCCAAGTTCAACAACAAAGTACGTATATATGTACAAGGTCAAACGGAAAACCGTCTCGATTGGCTATTGTGACATGTAAAGTTTAATAATTCGTACTGAACATAGTGTTATCTTATCATTATTTGCGACTATTTATAAACAATATCTGTAAATTAAAAATAATGCGCTTTTCAGTATTAAACTAAAATGAATTAAAATATTTAACAAAATATTTGTAAGAACTAATATGTACTAGAATATAACATTGGCAAAAAAAACTTGACAAGAAACCTTATTAATTCAAACTATTAATTGATATTAATTACTAATACACACTCAACATTCAGATATGTTATCTATTTTTTTAATAAAACTGTATGACATTTATAGAAAATTTAATTAGCTGTTATCAGTTTGTACATCCCGGGTATTCGTTGTAACAGGGCCGCCAAATTTGTCGAAAAGCTTTTACCAAGAGGTATTTACGTAAGATCATATTATATTTAACGTAATGCCGATATTAAATAGTTTATATTGTCTTTAAACAAAAGGTCTATATTAATAATTTTTTAAATAAATATTATGCTTTAATACCGTCTAAAATAGTAGTTAAAGTGATTGTCAAGTAATTTTGTTGTATGTGGCATTATTAAAAATCCTAAATTTACATACTGGTACTGCATCATTTCAGCAATGTTGAAGGAACTAGAAGTGCCTATAATAGAGACAGATCAAGAATTTCTACAGGGCTTGCTGAGAAAAACAGAATCTAATCCAGACCTTGAAGTAATCAATGTTGAAGCGACTCCTTGCACTTCTGTAGATGACAACTATTTGTCTTCCGCTACCACGGTGGTTGTGACTGGAAGGACAAAATCGGGTAAGGAACTATTAACTAGTTGTTTTCTACTTTGTGTATGATATTTCTCAATACACCAACTTATACAATGACGAGCAAAAAATTCCACCCAATTGATTTTTTTTACATTTTCTCAAAAAAAGAAAGTTCTACCCTTAATTTGTCTCATTGCTTTTATCAATGAATATTTGTTTATGCTATGTTTTAAATTGGAATATCAATTAAAGGTTAACACACTTAATCCTTAATCATAAACAAGGATAAAGGATTTATCAATATTTACTTTTGACAGGATTTAAAAATTTTATTCAGTCTCATTTGAATTCTGAAGCAATAAACTGTTTCGTTTTCTTAATTTCAATTTTTAAACTTAAAAATGCTACTTAGTGCTGAGGATGTTGCGCGTGGTGTGGCACTGTTTGATGTTGGACCTTCCATCAGGTATGCGGCTATTGCCATCGGAGTTCCCTACGAAACACTGCGAGATGCCGTTAGACGTTTTCTAGCAACTGGGTCCTACCATAGATGGCGCGGTTCTAGGACGCACTAGGGTAACAGAACCACAGGATGATCTTTTTTTGACTTTGATAATTATACGAAAAACCGGCACCTTTTCAAGCGATTCATCGGCTCCAGGAAGTTCGAGGTGACCAAATTTCTGAACGCACTGCTCGAAGAAGATTAAATCAGTATGGACTGATGGCTTTTCCCCCCGTAAGAGGGCCAGAATTGACCAGAACGCACAGAGTTACACGGCTCGCAGGTGCTCGAGAACACAGCCATGGATCTTTGGACGATTGGTCTGCTGTACTTTTTCCAGATGAGAGTAGATTTGCTCCACGATCTCCAGATTGACGTGAAAGAGTGTGGAGAAGGCGAAATGAAATGTACGAAGCCAGATGTTTTCCCAGAGTCAATCTTTTCAATGTAGCTCAGTGATGGTGTGGGCGGGAATTTCAATGAAGAGTCGCACCGAGTTGGTCTTTTGGTTGATCTGGAAGGTCTTTGACGGCCACTCGCTATGTGGATGAAATTTTGGAATGCGTTGTCTATCCTCGATGAAATCAGCGAAATCCTATTCTAATGCACGATAATGCCCGTCCACATGTCGCTCGCATTGTACAAACGGCTTAGCCTGGCCAGCCCGTTCTCCAGACTTGAACCACATCGAACATTTATGGGATAACCTCAAAAGACTAATAAGAGCACATCCATCACTTCCTGACACACTCCTCGATCTTGCAAGGACTTCGTGAAGAATGGGTTAACCTCCAGCAAAGAGACATTTCCTGACTGGTAGAAAGTATGCCGAGGCGTCTTGGATTAACACAAGAGGAGGAAATACACGATATTGAAATGTTAATTAAAAATCTAAAACAAAGTTTATCTGTCGGTCTTTTTTTTAACTTTTTAAAAAAAATACTCAATTATTAAACGTTAAGAAACATTAAACTTTGATTAATATATAAAATATATACAAATCAAGCTATATAACAAGTGGGTGGAATTTTTTGCATGTCAGTGTAATTTAGGTAAATATAAGACAGCTACTTGGCCCAGGAATATTGGAAATAACGCTTAATTTTTTTTTTTCAGCCCACACATTCAAAAAATTGCTATTGATCAAAAGACATCCAGCCAACAATACAAGACGACATGTTTTCAGGTATTTTGTTATAGTTAAGGTGATATGGAAATAGCTATTGAAAATGCATGGCTTTTTCCCTTTAGCATAAGTGTTTGCTAAGTGTTATTGTCAAATTGTGGCGGAAGAATAATCAGTAGTCATATAAAATATGGTGCGATAGAAAGTAATCAGTTAGATCTTTAGCAGACAGAAAACTTCTGTCATGATGAAAGGAAAGTAAGCGGTTTTTCATAATTGGACATGATTATCAAGAATCCTCTGTTTTAATATTCGGTCAAAACCACGGCATTTTTTCGTCGGGTCTTTTAATTCTATGTGAGGAGGAAGACTGAAATAGTGAGTGACTTCAGATCAGAAATGAGGATGATTTGAGGGTTTGATGTAGTGTTGTTGAGGATGTTCATATTCTATTTGGGTAAACCTTGTGTTTACCTGGTTTTTGTCATGTTTTATCCTTTTCAGATCTGATTCCTTTTTTATAAGACCGCATAACGTTTGAAAAATTAGAGCGCTCGAAAGTCTTTCATATTTTGTTTGTAGGTGTGATCCAGCGTTTAAAAACGAAGCTGCGGCCTTTGGTAAAGTGATACCGGCGTTGGCAGAGTTCTCGAAATGCGAGCTGCCATTCCCGTCATGTTTGCATGCAACAAGCCAACGAATTGTACTTCAAGATATTCAATCACATGGATTTACAATGGGAAACAAGCAAAAGGGTTTAGACCTCCACCATTCGAAACTAGTTATGAAGGTACTGTTTAAAAGATTTTACGTACCTTTTCAATGCCTAATTCGACCTTTTCCGAATCAAACTGAGCTTTTCCCAAACCAAAGTTCAATCTTATTATTATATTATGGTGTATTTTATAATTATACAGACGGGGAGTTGGTATCCGATTGGCACGATAGCTCAAGCAGTAGAGAGCGGCATATTTAGCCAAAGGTCGTGGGTTCGAATCCCGCTCGTGGCGCTAGCTTTTTCATTTCAGCCAAAAACCTTACATAAAAAGATTAATTGATTGAAAGAAATAATTTGGTCAATAGACCACTAAATATAATGGTTTTAATAAGTAAAACGAAGTATAACTTTACTAACAGCACCCTATGGCCACTTCATATGTCGCCGAGAATCGAATCCTGATTACACGACATTTGAAAAATGGCAAAAAGGAGAGAAAATTCGAAAGGTTGTAAGGTTGAGATGGGGAGTTGGTGTCCGAGTGGTCCGAGTGGATCGAAGTCACGATAGCTCAAGTGGTAGAACAGCGTCGTATTTAGCCGAAAGTCGTGGGTTCGAATCCCGCTCGTGGCACTAGCTTTTTCATTTCAACAAAAAACCTTACATAAAAAGATTAATTAATTGAAAGAAATAATTTGGTCAATACACCACTAAATATACACATTGTTCAAACTTAAAAATAACCACTATTCGCCAAATGTTCAATACATATTTGTGGGTTGTTGAAGATGGGTTCGAATTTGAACTAGTTCGAAAACAAAAAAGATCTATGCTATTTTTTTAAACACACCTATTGATAACAATTTGTTGTGAAAGACTTAACAAGTGTGAAAGATGCGATCGTGGTTGTGTACGCGTTCTAAATTGAATAACGTGACGGTTTAATTTAGAGACGTGATGTCACGACTTTTTTCATGACAAGGGTAGTTTATGACTCCAATAGACAATCAGCCAAAGGAAAAATTATCTCCCCGAACTGAGTTTTAAGCACTGCTGTAATTGTTAGGGACGTGCTTCTGATACCTTTGTTAAAACATCTTGTCTGCGCTTTATTACTCAAAAGTATACATGTTTAAGTAATTTTCATCTTTTAGTTACCACTATCGTGTTTTTTGTTTCATCTCAATATTCAATAGTTTTTTGAATATATAATATATCTGTCAGGTATTAAACCTGAAGGTTGGTTGTTTCCGATCAATGAAGTTTTATAAGGAAAATACGTAAAATAAGTTTAAAAAAATAGTACACCTACCAAAAATAAGAGTCAAAACCATCACTGAAGAGAAATGCCAATACGTCTCTGACAGACAGAAACAACGAAGGTAGGCAGACCAGATAGGTCGGAAAACAAACTGCATATTAATTGGAATTTGGAATTTACTAAATAGATAATTTTACATACATTTTGTAAAAAGTGAATAAAATGGGAAATGTACATAGGACATAATACATCCTTGTGGCAGAGGACTTAAATATATTTACAATTTTTGCTAATTTGGCCTAAAGAAATAAACAACAGTGGTGAGAAATTATTTTAAACACCACTTGCAGTAATATTAAATAAATTATAAGTACAATTGGCTTAGGACACAGCGCCTTTGTTTGACTACAAATGTACATTAACTAAGTTAAATAATTACACATTTACTTCTATAACCATTTACATTAATAAATAATCAATTTACTAATAATTATATATATTATAAATTATAAATCATTGACTAGACATGTGCGATATATAAGTTTAATAACAACACATTCACTTTAATAATAACTAATATAATTAATTAATAAATTAATAAGCATGTTAATAAATAGTTAATAATTATTATAGATTAAAATCATTGACTAGACTTGTACAATATCTAATCAAATAATTACTCATTTCTTTGGTAAATAAATGAATAAATAAATTAATTAATTTAATAAATAAATAATTTAGTAAATAATAACAGTAAATAAATATATTAAACAGTCTATCCAAAATGTGTTTGTTTCCAATTTTTCTTGAGGTTATAGTTTCCTACATTTATTACTGTCGTATTTGTACTCTCAGCGCTACGTTCAAAAAAGGAACCGGCTAACCTTTTGATATCATCCTTAATGTATGAGATGTTTAAAATTTCATGCATATGGCTTACACGAGCACTTCTTTTGTGCATATTAATAGTTAACTACACTGAGAGGCAAAAAAGTGGCCACCCTCGTTTTGTTGTTTTAGTAAATACTTGCAATAGTTATAGTTTTTATTTTTCGTTGTTTACTGGGTGTTTTTAAAAGAATCATAAAGATACAGTTAAATAAAAAATTAAATTTAATAAAATAAAAAAAAGCTTTGGAAACAATGAAGAAAATATTCAACTCAGTATTTCCTTCTCTTTCGTTGGTAACCGCTTGCATTCGACGTGGCATATATTTTAAGAGGTTTTGAATGTAGTGCTGTGGAATATTTTCATACTCCTCCAACAGCGCCATTCTTAATTCCTGCAAATCCTCTGGCTTCCCGTGCCGACTTTTTAACCTCTTTGACAGCTCCTCCCAAAGGTGAATCGTTCACCTTGACGCCCGTTTCACCAACCATAATCAATGCTATGTGACCTTCATTGTCATGCATGAAAATAAAACCGTCGCCAATTATTGGTATTATAAGGAGCAACTTCTTCTGATAACACATCTTCAACGTATCGAGCATCTATTACGGAGCCCTCTATGAAGATCAAGTTTATGCGAACTTCCATTGAAATGCGTGACCAAACCATTCCGCCACCATAGTTTTTCTGGAGTGAAAATGTTGAGGGAATATATTGTTTACCTGTTCTTCTCCAAACCCTCTCTCGTCTCTCGACCGTCCGAAGGCCTTAAGCAAATCTTTTTAGATTTTAGTCCAATCTCGCTTAGTCCAATTGATGTGACTTCTTACGAAACTTAACCAAGCTGTTCTGTGCCTGGTCAGACGTTCTGGACCAGTGGCAGGCCTTCTCGCACGTAAACCAACTTGGGAAATCTTCGCCTTACAATGCGTAAACTAAGATTAACATTTCTAACTGTTGAAGTAGTTGCTTGATCTCAATATTATGTTTCTCACTGGGGTCGCAATGTCTTTTAACATTGAGGTTCTTTAGCGTGCGCACCCAGTACATAGGCCTTATCACACGTTTAGATTTTCAAGTTAGGAGCGACTCGGACAGTATCTTGGTAGTAATAGAAGACCCTTCGGACATTGTTCTGGGAATGTGAGCACCCCAACCACAAACGCTCAACTTCTTCCATCTTCCAACAATGCTATGATCTGCCGAATCTGTATCACATAATACCATTACTAAAAAAAAAAAAATTGAAACTTAATAGTGATGTAAGTTTAAAAATCAAACCATCGAAACGTTAGAAAAAATCTTTACAGAAAAACCAGCGAAGAGATTGACTATTCAAAGATTTATTTACAAAATCCAATTGTAAACACAAGTAGGAGATTTTATCTGTGTTTTATTTACCTCTAATCCTTCAAAACGGACTAAATCGTGTAAGATAATTAATGGAGTTTTGTCTAAGAGAAAATTGAAAATATTAAGGGTGGCCACTTTTTAGCCATTAGGAACTAAAGGTAGGAAGAAAATCTGCCTTTTTACCCAATAGAAGTTATGTTCGTCTGTCTCTTCAAGTCATACTTACAAAAATTATAACGGATATTTCCATTAGTATCTCGGTAAATAATATTCCGTACATTTTATACATCTAAATACCATATTTTTTATTAAATCCGTATATCCCACAAGACCTTGATGAACTTGGAAACAGTAATACTATCACTCACTAGATGGCGATCATGTTATTGTCTAGGCAGTACTGATCACGTTATATCCTTATTTTTAATTCCATAAACATTATTATAGAAAAATTACAGAGAAGTAAGGCATATCTACCAATAGGATAAATCAATATGTATTAATAGATTGCTTGATATTCATGAACTGTACTGTCGTCGTTATAGTTTCTAATTACACATTCAAACAAGGCATAATTTCATATATAATCTTTATATTTTTTTATAAGTTTTGGCTTTTATCTAGTAATGATTTAAAGCACAATATCAGATGACCCGTTACAAATTTAGATGTGAGATCAAGAAAAGAAGATATCAACAAAAACCTAACCATTAAAAAAGGGCAAAGTTCGAGACCCGCTCCAAAAAAATTAACCTATGAACGTAGTGATATCTACATGTGGCCAAGTCATTCTTCTGTCATTTCCTTTTTATCCATAAGGTGAAAGAACTTTAAAAATTCAAGAAAAATTCCAGACACCTTCCATGAAGGTCAATCATAGTAGTGTTATCTACATTGTGGCCATCCTCACTTCACTCCTACTTTTATGAGCACCACTTCTTTTCTTTTTATTGCTTAACATTTGGTCAGTTTTTGAATGAGCAATGAGTAGTCTGAAACTTTATTCTTTTCTTTTGAGTGCTCTACCTTCCCTTTGCCCACCTCTTCTCTGTGAGAGTCCTGATATTTTAAGTCTCATTCAGAAACCTTGTGACGATGCTAGTTCGAAAATTATTAGACAAGAAGTGTTCTTGTTGTAGGAGCAGAGAAAAAATATATTTTAACTATTTCACATATTTTTTAAAACATAGGTTTTCTGCTTTGTTGTGTCAATTGATGTCGAACAGGCTTTCAATCAAGCCAGGATTTACTATAGAAGCTCAAGGATATCCTACCCTCTACGCACTACCTCGTCCTCAAATCTTACCTGGCCAATAGGTACTTTAGAGTATGGAAAGGATCCTTACACTCTCCTTTGTACATTGAGGCCGGGGATTCCCTCAGGGTAACATCTTCGGCCCGCTACACTGCTGATATCCCTTCCCATCCCGACACCACTATCCTAACATACGTTGAAAATACGTTGGATCCTCTAACTCCGATCCCGTCATAGCTAACCGAATCCTCCAAACAATATATTCCATTGAAAAATGGTTCATAAGATGGCGACTACTCCACAACCTTTCAAAACATAACGTCACACCCCTCTACGTCCAAAATATCTTCCTCACCCCTCTTTCCACCGAAAACGTCATCCCCTACCTCGCTATCCAGGCTGTAGACATACATCCCCATACACGACTCAAAAGGATGGAACTGAACCAACGGTACCAATTACTTAAAAGGTTAGTTGGCAACAGATCTAAATTCTCCATTGATTTAAAAAAAAATCATATACAAATCAATGCTGAACCCAGTATGGACATAAGACCTGACAAACTATGGGGCTAAACCAAACTTTCCATATGGTATACAAAAGTATATGCATGCTAAACTATCAAAATACTACACACCATAAAGGACACATGATGCTAAAGATTAATTAGCCATTTTACTGTTTTAAAACTATTTATTTTTCTTTAAGGAACTTGGGAGATTTCACGGCATTTCTTTAGCGATGAAGTGCTCTAACAAGTCTGCATTCGAGGGGACAAAGTCAAACATCCAAGAGTTAATTTTTGTCCCCGAAGCACACCCTATTTTCAGTGCTTCCCTGGAAAACGCACTGAAAATGGCTCTAATGAGTCTCGAAGTTTACAAAGGAATTACAGATGTGGCGATTGTCGAAGCAGTTCATAAACTTAGAATGCTTAAAGGGACCGTCTTCCAGCGTATGCAAGCCCTGGTTAAGCCTTCTGAACCTCTATCTGTGATATGCCATGGAGACTTTTGGATCAACAACCTCCTTTTCAGGTAACTAACCTGTTCATTTATAGTTTTCAAACCTAGGTTTTTCGTATTTTGTACCAATATCAATAAAAACCTTTCTAACTTTAAACTAAAATTATTATATTAACATTCATTAATATACATTTTACTATATATTCTTATTGGCTATTCACATAAATTTGTATGAGAAAGAATTGAGATGAATCTGTTTTGTGCGTAGGTACAACGGTGAAATAGCAGAAGAAGTCAAGTTCGTCGACCTTCAAGTAGTGAGGTACGCATCTCTTTCAACCGACATACTTCACTTCTTAACAACAAGCACCGAACCAGAAGTGTCAACCGATTACAGGGACGAATTGGTTCAGACTTACCACAAATCACTGTGCCAAGTTTTGGAAGAGCTGGCACCAGGTGCACTCCACGTCTCATTAGGAGATATATACAACCAGATCGAAATCCACGCACTGTACGGCCTCCTTATAGGCTTTCTCCTTCTGCCTGCAATCACCGCTGAGAACAAGCTCGCCAGCAACGAGAACTTCGACAGCGCCGTGAGATCTCTTACTCCCAAGTACTACAAGAAAGTCCGAGACCTTGTCTTAGACTTCATAGACCGAGGTTTCATATAGTTTGCATACAGCAACTAGCATAATGTAACATAAGAATATGATGTAATATCTGCGTGTGCTTACAGCGGTGTAATAAGTCGCACTGTTATTGCCGAGAATTCATTCATTCATTCATATTATTTTTAACCTGAATTAATAAATTTGTTACTAATATTTATTATAAGGTCTTACCATTCCAATATCTTTTTTAAAATAAAACTACTAGTCGACAAATATACAGATACTTAACGTAATTAATATTGAAGCAATGCGTTCTTTATCTTTATTAGTTAATCTTTATTAATGTCGATACTTTATTACAATTTGCTCTTTTTTGTACATGTAACGTGATATATAAAAAAATATGTACTTATCTAAATTCACTTTTTTGCTTAATAATGTTTTCTTTGTGTTGTCTAAAACATAAAGATTTTTGTAATTTTTTTACACAATTTCTGTCTGATAAACCATAATCAAATGTAAAACTTAAATTAACCAAATATATTTATATATTTCGCGCTTCGGACTCATATATTTTCTATGCTACACAAAAACATTTAATTCCAAGCTTAACCCTGCATAACCGAACCTAGCTATCCCTAACCCTAACCAAGCCTTATCCTTATCCATACCCTAAACCTAAACCTAAAAAAAGAACAGACTTCATATTGAAAGGCTAACTTTTTTTGGAGGGGTCTCGAACTTGGCCCTTTTTTCACGGTTAGGTTTTTGCTGGGATTTTAGATTACTGATTATATTTATTTGTGTATTTTTACGAGGGTTCGCAACGGCAGAGGTCATATCAACCCTCAGGTAGCCGGTGTTTTTGAAAAAAAGGCCATTTGTGAGTATGTCGGGTTCGAACGCAGGGCCGCTGGATTCGAACCCACCACCTTACAGTGATGAGCGTCATGTCAAGGCCGAAATCGTTGCGGCCACCGACGCCCCATTACTGATTATAGTTCAGAAAATAGATTTTGGTTTAGGTATTTATACAAAAATTGGGCTAAAATTTATAAAAATATTATTTATATTATTATAAATAATAGGGTTTTATACTATTACATAGGAGGAACATTAGATTCAGCTTTGTTTATTTTACAGAAAAAATGATTCATTTTTAGTTCAAGCTCTCACACTTGCAGATAACCAAAATCATCACAATATCTATGGAAACCCATAGCATTTAATTTTGACAAAAACAAATTGAGACAAAGGAAAAAGTAAGGCATTTGCCTCACTGATTTCCGTGTAAATTCCTTCAACTGAATGTTGGGGGGGGGGGGAAATCATGTATAAAAATATGCATCATTTTGGGTTAATTGTCAATAAATAATGTTTACGTTTTTTGTATACTTCATACCAAATTTCTGTCAGACGTTGGTAGCCATTAATTTTCGATTATGGCATCTACTGTATTGATATTTAATTTTGTATTTCCATTAGATTCTATTTCGTAATTCTTATCTTGATGCTTCCTTTTATAAATTGAATAAAGCATCCCTACTCTACTTTTTGTAGGTCGATCCGTGACTAGATTTTTACACCATGATTTAGATTTGCGAGTTCTCAATTGGCCAAGCATTACGATCAAAAGCATCATGCAACCCGAGTGAGCCAATTCTGAATCTTGAAACATTAGTTGAAAATAGTATAATTATAACAATAATCATTAATTGTTAATAGGATCGGAAATTTCATCGTAATTAGTAGGATATTATTTCCTTATTTAAAAATTATTCCCTTCGTGAGTCTAAAAAAACGACTTCCATTATCAGCTATAGTCTCGGATAAATTGATCAGACATCAATTCGACAAGGCTTGTGCATTTCTGTATTTGGTTTTACGGTGTAGACAGAATTTCTCCAAACAAAATGTCTTTGAAAGTATGCTATACGTTGTGTCACACTAGTGAAATGTAGGAAGTGAGTTTTGATAAAGGTCTCAGACAAGGAATCCTATGTCTGGAATAATATATTTCCGCTGAGAATAAGAATAAAACTAACGCAAGGGGCATTTTCATATCAGCCAGTTTTATCATATATCTCGGTAATCGACGTTGTCGAAATGTAAAATTACTGACAATTTACTTTTGTATTAGCTGACGTTACGCGTCCCCAAGGTGTACGATGGTATATAATAATATGAAACGAATCCCTGATTATGTCGTGTCGCAAGAAGGCGACATGCAATACGCAAAGCATCCTTATCTTTAAACATTTCGCGTAGAGACTATCAACAAGTCTCAAACCGTGTCGTCTTTCATTTTTTCACGAATGTAACCGTTCTGAAAAGGGGAAAACATTCTAAATTTCCTTCATATAAATATTTAATATATAATCTGATTAACTCACATTTTACTTAGACAATAAGTCTACAGTCTATGATAAGAATCATACCACATAGCTGCTATAAATTATAAAATAGAAGTTTATTTCACCAGTTTTACGTTTTTTGTATGATAATCGACCTCAGAATTTTACTCCTGACTGGTCTTCTCTCTTGACCGTCCGCAGACCAGACCGATAAATTTCATCATTTGATGCTTAATTTTATGCAAACAATCCAAAAGGACAGAGCTCCAACTAATTACAATAGCACTTCAAATGTATTTAATTAAATATAACTCCTCATTTATGACACCTTTACCTCTAGATCTGCCACATAAACCAATAACTCTAAAACAAATATCAGAAGAATTGCGACAGCTTTCTAAAAAAATTACCTAGTCATGATTTGATAACACCAAATTTCTTCAAGAACTTCCCAAAAAAAAGATCTCTTTATTTAACGCTATTTTAAAAACTACACACTTACCCATACAATGGAAACTTTCTTACATTAAAATGATTCCAAAGCCCCATAAAAATTTAAGCTCCCCATCGTCTTATCGTCCTATTAGTTTGTTAACCGTTCCTTCTAAATTATTCGAAAAATTAATTTACAAAAGAATTGTCTATATTGCTTCTTCAAAAAACATCTTACCAGACCATCAATTTCGTACCCATCATTCCACTACTCATCCATTCACACAGTTACAAATTTAATTATTTCATATCTCGAGCAGAAACGACACGCGACTGGAGTGCTTCTCGTGTTTCTCAGGCCTTCGACAAAGTATAGCATGAGGGATTATTATACAAATTAAAATTATTTTTACCCCAGGCCTGTTATCTAATTATACAATCATACCTTAAGGAGAGACTTCTGAGGGTACAGAGACTTCTGAGATGGAAGAAGTGCTTGCAGTTGTGCCACAAGGGTGGCACTACTCGCTCCGCTGTTGTATACAATTTTTACTTATGCCCACAAATGAGAATGCACTTACCGCCACATACGCAGATGCTACTGCCATATTAACAAGTCATTCCTCTTCTACACTAACTTCACTTATGTTACAAAACCACATGTCAACAATTAAAAAATGGAGCAATCTTTGGAAAATAAAATTTAATCCCTTAAAGTCAAAACATATCACCTTTACACTCCGTCGTGAGACTCGTCCTAGCATATACTGATACAATGAACCTGATCCTCAATCCGACAAAGTCAACTATTTAGGACTTACATTTCATAGAAGATTAAGTTTGAATCCACACACACGATTAAAAAAAACAGGCACTCAAAAAAGGATTTAAAATGCTTTATTAAATACTCAACCGACAATCAAAATTACCATTAAAATCAAAACTTTAGACATGTACGTACCTACCCAAACCTATTTAGATATACGGGTGCCAATTTTAAGGATCGGGTATATATTCCAATATTGAAAGATTACACATTTTCAATCCAAAATTTTAAAACTAATTGTTCCTGCTCCTTTTTACGTAAACACGGAAACATCACAGAGTTCTTCACATGTCAACAGTTTTTGCATACATCAAAACATGTTACAGACGTTTTTATAGTAAATTACAAAGTCACACAAATACGATTACTCCATTCCATACAGTTACCACGTAAATATGTCTATGAAAACTACTTTTGAAAAACTGAAATGACAGTTTCTGTAGCTAGGTATTTCAATTTTTTCTGTTTTTTGCTATGGTATGGCCGCACGCGTCTGTAGATCTGTATTCAGATTCGTCTAACCCTGACCCTAGCAGCTCATTCACGTACGAAGATGAAGTAAAATATGTAATGACACACCTGTCGTGATTGACACATCATAGTAATTAGTGAGTTGTAGATATTTATAATGCAATTCCCTTTTTTCGTGTGAAAAAGACGTCAGTTTTTTCACAACCCGTTTTGTGAACCGAACATTTTGCGTTCTTAAGTCGACAAAATAAAAATTATCTTAAAATTACATGTCACGTATTATCATTGTGTAGTTAATATTATACAGTGGTTTGAAATGTCTTTAGGAGGTCTTCATTGAAGAGTAGTTTTTTTGTGGGCCTGCAGTGATGACCTTATACATATAACAATGAGCACATCTTATCATCTTCATTGGTTGTTCTAAAAAGCTATAAAAACCTAGAAAAAGACGTACACACGGGAAGGCCATCACCAATCACTGATCTACTGATATCAGTTCCTTATGGATATATGGGAAAGGTAAGAAAAATAAAGAAAATATTTATATAATAATATTCATTAGTTCGTATAAGAATCAATCAAAACCAAAAAGCTCACTGGGATTCGCACACACCAAACTTGGAAAAGTACTCGTTGCCCATGGGTAGGTTTAGGATCTAATAGTTCTTTTGATCATCCACAGAATACACAGAATAAAACCGTAGAATAGAAACAATAGTAATAGTATTTAGTAGTTGGTCTAAGAATCCATTTGAACCTATGAAACAAATATACATATCCATAATGTCCAACGACTGATCAAAATACCAGTTTGGCATTAGAATGTCCTTTTTTATGATACAATAGCTCTTTAGACCGACCGCTGAAGAAAGACAAATGTAGAAAACAATATTTATATCTTTAGTTGTTGTTCTATGAAACTAATCCATTGAAACCTATATAAAAAACAATCCACCAAGGTAAGCACCGTTCTATCACTGACCAAAATACCAGTTTGCCGTGTGTAAGTTGTTTTATGTTCCAATAGTTTAAGTCAATAAATGCATTATCCAATAAATTACATACAGAAAAACACCTCTGTTTCCTCCAATAACCAGTGAGATAATACTGAAGTTCAAGTATCAAGTACCCATATCTGGTGGCAAATCTAACGCCTTCTCTTTATGGAGCTAAAAAATGCCAAATTACGTGGGTCACATCACGTGCAGGCTTTGGCCCGAATATAAATTGGATTTACATTTGGATCGGGTCAACCACGTACCCCATTGGAATTCTGGTGAGAAAGATCCTTTTTCTACGATCCAAATTCTTTGAGAATCGCTCAATCATAATCATAAAATCTTCTATGTGATATATCTTTATATTATTTTGGTTTATGGTCATACAATACATAATAATACATATTACAACATACAATACATAATACATAT